TATGCTTAGAGCAACCCAGTAAAACCTGGAAAATATTAAAACCAATCTTAATGACACTTTTGACTATCATCCTTGTGAATATTTTCTACTCACTTCCTTCAACTGTATTATCAACTCTAAATATGTTAAATTTTTTGAAAGATTATGCTTGAAAAGCCTCAAGAAGAAACATCATGGAAGTGTTCAAATTTTTAAAATTCTTCCTTGCTACTGTGCTATTAGAATTCACCATTGTAACTGCAGAGGAAGGAGAGAAAATGCTGACATCACAGACACATTTTAACTCAAAAAGGTAATAGTGCATCACAGACAGTCCTACAGGGAAAGCAAGATGTGGATCACAAACAATAAAATTTTATTTTCTAGAAATCGGTTGTCTAATTTCTTTAAAAACAATTTCCAGACATGATAGCTAATGGCATGCATTATAGGTAGAATAAGTCACTTATTCAATACTAATGGCCCAATGCACGAATTTGTGTACATCAAAAGGAAATTAATTAGAAGAAAGATTCGTGCAGTAGTTATGTTACTGCAAGAATTACATGTCATAATCTATATATATATAAGGCTAAGTGACTGACTGTATGTCAGCCAGAGCTTTATATGTATCATGCATACATGAGTCAAGGTTTATTTTTAAATGACCAGTGTGTGTCATATGTACCGGCCGGTTGGTTGGCTGGTCGGATGGATGGATGGTTGGTTATTTAGCCTTTTATATATAGATATATAGATAAGCCATTGGAACTACCAATTACTAAAAGGCACCTGCTAGTAAGATGGTCCTGGAAAGTAATACGGAACAGCACCCTTTGTATCTAGCTTCTGTACCACCAGAAATCTCCTTTTCACAACTTCATTCTGGCAGTTTTTAGGCCAGTTACATAACAATTTTCAAAGGCTAAAGACCACACAATATATGATTTTTATAATAAGAATAGTTGTTATTGAATTTATTTTAAAGAGAAATCTTTGACCTGGCTGGGTCAGATGGTTGGAGTGTCTTCCCATTGACCAGTCAGGGCACATACCCAGGTGCCAGGTTTGATCCCCAGTCTCAGACACTGGATGGGAGGCAACTGGTAGATATTTCTCGCATATCCATGTCTCTCTCCCTTTCTCTTTCCTTCTCCCTTCCTCTCCCTTTAACATCAATTAAAAAGAAAGAGAAATCTTCAAAGTCAGAAAAACTGAAATGAAAACTCATAATTAAAATTATTTTAAAGTAATTCATATATGGTAACAATGTCCAAAAGGTTCAAGAGGAAAGGAAACAGCACATAATATACATACATATATATGTATAAAGTAGCCATTTTGCTCTAGGAAGCAATAAAAAATATTTAAGGAATTTTCTATTGTAAAATAATCCATTTTCCACATTATTAAAGTAAACATTAAAGCATTTGAAACTATACTAGTAGTATACAGAAATAGGTACTTTAAACTTTTAAATGAGAGTACCAAAGCTCAAAAGAAAATGTCAAGTGGCAGGTTAACTAGAACTTTTTAAAAGTTTAAGAGAGACATTTCCTTTTTATCCAAAAATGAAAACAAAATTAAACAAATGTAATATCCTTTAGTAATAAAAATAATCAAAAGGGAAATGAAAGTTACTAAGGATCATAAATTAAGCATAGGCTAAAAAAGATCCTCATCAGGTTAAAACCTTTCACTTATTTTTAAGAGGAAATACTAAACTTGCCAGAATAGGGAATATGATATTTCAACAGTCCTTGTTTTGGTAGGTGAGAAACTCATTATGTCAATACGCCCCCGCCGCCCCCGTCTCCCTTAAAAGGAAAGAACTTAGCTGGGATTGGAGCAGGAGCGGTGATTCTTCTCCAGTCCTTGCAGATGAGGCGCTCATCATGTCACAGCCCTCATTCCTCCTTAAGATAAGATGGCATGGGCACGCTGCACATCAGTAAGGTTAGCACAGCTGCCAGATTTTTTTATGGCCACCCTGCACAGGTTTTTGTTTTCACAATATCTGGAAATGGCCTAGGGGGAGACATGAGATAGAACACAGGTACATTCAAAAGAAAGGAGCTGCAGCCTTCACAGAGAAAGCATCACTGATAGCCACACATTCCCACTTCTTTATATGGATTTCAGTTTTTCCTCTTCAGAGAGCTGGCGTATACACTGCTTGGTCCTTGGGATCCTACTTCATGCTCATTCACTAAGGTAAGTCATTTAGGGACTGTGATTAGATTACCAGAGCAAAGGGGAACTTAGAATTTACAGTTTGGATTTTCTCAACAATGTCAAAGTTGTGACAAGGTCCTAACAACAATATCATCTGTTGCCTGCACATTTGGTTCCATAAACATAATAAACTTACACTTGGACAAAGTCATTGTTGACTCAGCTATTTAAATTTTAGCCAATCTTCATTAGTTAGCAATTGCTCTAGGCAAATTTTAATGAGGCAGGCATGGGTTGTACTTGATTGAAAGGTAGGAAAGTGCTAATGATTGAAGCACTATAAAAGTACTATTTCAGTTGCACATTAATTAAGGTAGAAACACGTCTTATTCTAAAGGAGCATCAAAGTACCACAGAAAGTGTCCAATTTAAAAGTGTACATTTCTGTTGAGAATAATTTTGTTGTATAGTCGCCATAACCCATAATTACTTTGTTCAATGTACTTTACCATCTCCATTAAAAACCTATGTACTTTCTACAGCAAGTGTTTGAAGCACATATTCTACAATCTTAGTATAAGTCTCTCAGGCTAGATTTGTTAACAAACTAAAGGTACTAAACTGTGATATATACAGAAAAGACATGAATTTGCAAACTGAGTTAACAATGGTAAGTAGAATATGGTTGTAGAAGTGATTAGTTATACAATTGTAAGAAATTATTCATATATAGCTAGAAATAAGAACAGAGTTTCCAAAAAAAACCATCCAAGATTAAATTGGATATAAATTATTCTGAATCATGGTCACAGAGATCATTTTTGTATAATGTGGGATTCTTAAATAAACCAGAAGAGATACCACTAATATGATGTGAGAGAGTTCATAAGTCTTCTTCAATGTGCTAGTTTAAAAAGCTTTTCATTTTCCTAGTCACTACATAATATGATTTATCCACAGATACTGGTTTTGGTGTCTGGCAGCAAACCCCACTTTGGATTCCCACAGCCTTACCTCTAGGTTCAGTGCTCTTTCTTTTCCAAGAGGAGCAAATGCAATAGGCAATCCGTGGTCACTTGCTAAGGACCGAAGGTCAAAATAGTATTTGGCATAGACACTGAGCGAAACATAAAGACTAAACTGTAGTAGATAAAAGTATTGTCTTTCCAGTTCACTTCTGGGCAAGAAGGAAAACACAAAATTAATACAGGACAATTTTAGTCAACCTGGCTATCTTCAAAATTATCATTCTAAACTACTAGGTTGACTCTGCGTTTTGTTTTGAAACAAATAAAGGCTACCTAGCTGGACTAGTACACTAATGTTCAAATAAACATAGACAAGGTACAGCTATTTGTCGTCCCTCTTGCATCCAGCTCTTTGAATTTTGGACAAGGGGAGGAGGTTACGTCTCTTGTGCTCAACTGCTGCTGACTATAGAGGCTTATTCATCAGAGTCCCATTAGTGCAGCTGTAGGTTCGTGCTCCTTGCTCACTCACAGGGCCCCACTCTAGTGTTCAGATGGAAGGAATGATGTACTGTTCCTTAGCCCTGAAGAACTTGCAGACATTTTCACCAGGCCCATAACAGGAAGGGGATTAGTAAAGTAGAGATGTGCCAACAAAAGGACTGGGCACATCATCACAGTAACAAAACAATCCATTGAGAGCCACCAATATCTCTGAGGGAAAAACTCTTGGAAAATTATGAATACCTAACAAGGAAATGGAGGAAAATACAAAAAATGGAAGCATATACCATGCCCATGGATAGGAAAAATTAACATATTTAAAATGTCATACCACCTAAAATAAAATTCCTATTAAGATATCAATGGCAGCTTTTACAGAAGTAGAACAAATGATCCAAATTTTTATATGGAATCACCAAAGGCCCTAAATAGTCAGAGCAATCCAGAGAAAGACAAAGTTGGAGGTATCATACTACTTGCTATCAAACTATAAGCAAAGTTATAGCAATCAAAATACCAAGGTACTGGCATAAAAATAAACATATAGACCAATGGAATAGAATAGAAAGCCTATAGATAAATTAACTATGTGGTCAATTAATATTTGAAAAAGGAGGACAGATCATTCAATAAGTAAAGACAGTCTATTCAATAAATGGTATAGGGCCCTAACCAGTTTGGCTCAGTGGATAGAGTGTTGGCCTGCGGACTCAAGGGTCCCAGGTTCAATTCCAGTCAACGGCATGTACCTTGGTTGTGGGCATATACCTAGTAGGGAGTGTGCAGGAGGCAGCTGATCGATGTTTCTTTCTCATCAATGTTTCTAACTCTCTAACCCTCTCCCTTCCTCTCTGTAAAAAAACAATAAAATATATATAAAAAAATAAATGGTGTAGAGTAAATTGGACAGATACAAACAAAAAATGAAACTAGACCACCTTCTTCCACCATATACACACATAAACTCAAAATGGATTATCAACTTAAATTCAAACTATAAAACTCCTAGAAGTAAACATAGGCAGTAAAATCTAGGACACTTCTCTTAATAATATTTTTTTGTTGATACATCACCTGCAGTATGTGAAACAAAAGAAAAAATAAACAAATGGGACTGTATCAAACTAAAATATTTTAGCACAGCAAAGGAAAACATCAACAAAATAAAAAGACAACCTACTAATGGGAAAACATATTTGACAATGATATATCTCATAATAGTCAAAATTTATTTAAAAAGTATACAACTCAACACCAAAATACAAACCACCCAATCAAAATGTGGACAGAGGACCTGGACAGACACTTCTCCAAAGACTCCATACAGATGGCTGATAGACATGAAAAGACGCTTAGTATTTTTAGTCCTCAGAGAGATGCAAATTAAAACCACAATGAGATATCCTCACACCTGTCAGAATGGCGATCATCAATAAAATTTTTAAAAAGCTCGTATTGACCAAAATATGGAGAAAAGGGAACCCTTGTCACTTTTGGTGGGAATGTAGATTGGTGCAGCCACTGTGGAAAACAGTATGGAGTTTTTTTCAAGTAATTAAAAAATGGAGCTGCCTTATGATTCAGAGATTCCACTTCTGGGCATATATGCAAAGAAACCAAGACATTAATTCCAAAGAATATATGCACCCTATGTTCACTGCAGTATTATTTACAATCCCCATGCTATGGAAGCAACTCAAGCACCCAGACATAAAAAAGAATGAAATCTTGCAATTTGTGAGAGCATGGATAGACCTAGAGGGTAGTATGTTAGGGAAATAAGTTAGTCAGAGAAATGCAAATACCATATGGTTTCACTTATATATGGAATCCAAAGATCAATATAAATGAGCAAACAAAACAGAAGCAAACTCATAGATACAGGGAACATTTTGATGGTTATCAGAGAGGGAGGAGTTTGGGGGGCTGGGTGAAAAAAGGTGAGGAAATTGAGAAGTACAGATTGGCAGTTATAAAACACTCATGGAAATATAAAGTAAACCCAGGGAAATATAGTCATTAATACTGTAATAATGAGATATGATGTCAGGTCAGTACTAAAAATATTGTGGAAAACACGTTGCAAAGCATGATTTTCTAACCTGAGACTAATACAAAAATAATATTAAATGTAAAGTCTTATTGACAAGAATAATAAAAATAAGTAAATTTTATAAAGGAGGAAAAAAAAAAGACCAGAACAGGTAGGCAGCCCTAAAAAATCCATAAAGATATTTAAAGTACGGTTGCTTGTGCATCTGAACTTGTACAATGTTTGCCAATAACCACCAGAGAAATACATTTCAAATTATCACACAGATTATTAGAATAATTACACCTGGAAACCTACTAATTAATGAGAAAGAATATGATATGTTATAGCAAATGTGAATAGAAAAATGTATGTAATTTTGTTGTTGTTGTTAATCCTCACCTGGGGATATTTTAATATTGATTTAGAGAGAGTGGAAAGGAGGGAAGGAGAGAGGGAAGGAGGGGGGGAGGGAGAGAGAGAGAGAAAGAGAGAGAGAGAGAGAAACATCAATTATTTGCCTCCTATTCCCTCCCTATCATGCCCCTACTGGAATTGAGCCTACAACCCAGGTATGTGCCCTTAACTGGAATTGAACCTGGGACCATTCAGTCTGTGCTGACGCTATACCCACTGAGCCAAACAAGCTCGGGCAAAATATATGTAATTTTATGCATAGTTCAGTTCTCTGCACACTCTAAACTTTAAAAACATTTCTTAATCTGTAAACTTTATGGGGGCATATAAAGTAATAAAAAATGGTTAGAAAGTTCACCAAAACATTGCAAACTCACAAGTCCTTGACTGTAATGCCCTTGCAGATTTGACAGAATATCGAATTTGATATATCCAGATCGTGCCAATACTTGAAAGCCAGAACAATGGCGCCGAAAACAATTCGTTTCCAGTTAGTTGGGCAAATGTCGATTTCAGCATATGTTAAAAGTCTTTCTATGTAAACCTGCAAAAGTAAAACACCGGTCTTTGATTCTAGCTCAGTTTAAGTGCTGTAATAATAACTATTAAGAATGACAGGTTTCGTCAGTTTCGACATGCCTTTTATTTTTAGGTTCTGGCCATGAGACTAGTTGGCCAGCCAAAGCCAGAGGCCAAGTCACGGTTGCAAATCAGATACTTCTGTTGCCTATTTTCCCATGTGGAATTTCCAGCCCAATTTTTGGTCACAGGGATGAATGGACAAGTTAGCAAAGGACTTCCTGAAGAAATGTTACTTTCCCACTTGCAAAGGGCAGCCCATCCAGGCCCAGTGCAGACACTTGACTGCCCACCACGTGCACTGTTTCATACCTGGCTGGTAGTTAGTGGTGATTTTACATAATCCTGGAATATGTAAATCCCTGCCAATACTGAGCACATCTGTACCTTCTCTACCCAGTAACTAGTCCCTTTGTGGCCCAAGCTGAAGCTAAAACTTGGTCAAGACAGCCCCCCAGTGGCTGCTGTGCGGTGCCGCAGGACAGGTAGTGTAAACAGGCATGTTTGAATCAGGCGTTGACAACTGTCAAGTATACTTGAACTTAGTGCCTTTGTAAGAAACACACACGCACACCAAGGATAGTCCTTTTATATCCCCTAAGCCTCACATCTCCATCATGATTCTGTGAAATCCATCTCTGTCTTACACAACCTGAAGCTTGGTCAGTTCTGTTGGTTTCAGGTGGTAGCAGAGCTGCCAGACTCTGTCTCCCTGGTTCTCCTCTAAACCTGCCAGATTGACAGCTCACATTTGCCAAAGCTCTTCAAACCCAACTGTATTTTAAAAAACAAATGATTATTAAACATCATGTGTTCTTAGTGAAAGGTTGCACCAATCCTCAAAAGTTCCAAGTGCTCAGATATCGTATCCTACAAGGTTCAACTGTCTACTTGATGGAAATAGAGACAAATACAACATTGGAAATCACTTAACTTCCTGCGGTCTTAACTGTAGATTTGGTATGTACCATTAATCATTCATTTATACCACTTGCCCTCCTGTGTCAGTGGAATTGAGATTTCTCTTCTCACTGAAACTCTTCTAGCAGTGAAGTTGATCCCATCCCACTTCTGAAGAACATCTCCCACAGTTATCTCTTTTTGAACACTTCCCTGTGGCCCAGAGACTCTCCCCAATATGAATGTATTTATGTGATACCCATCCCACCCTCCACAACCCCTAGGATGCCTCCTCTCTGTTTTCTCACAGTGAATGACCTGAAACTGCTTCTCATCTCCCACTCTCTTCACCCACTGCTGTAGTGTGCCCCTGGCACTGTCACTCGACTGAAACTACTACTGCTAAGGTCATCGGTGCGTTTGCACATACAAACCAGAGCTCTTCACCCCAGCTCCCCACTCCCCACGCATTCCCTAATGTCATGTGGGGCACTGCCATTTGCCTAGGTGCTTGGCCAAAGACGTCCAATTGAGTTGACCTGCTGCAATCTGTTAGTAATTCTTATCATCTCTGCCTGTCACTGGTAGTCAGACCACTTTCTATTCTATTTGTCACTTCTCACCCATGTCACTGTTATTGCCCCTGACTTCTCAGCCTCCACTCAGACTCCCAGATACAGTCATTCTTCCCAAAGCAGCCAGAATAGCCTTTTTTTAAAAAAAAAATATGTTATTGCTTTTTAAAAAATGTATTTTATTGATTTTTCACAGAGAGGAAGGGAGAGGGATAGAGAGTTAGAAACATCAATGAGAGAGGAACATCGATCAGCTGCCTCCTGCACACCTCCTACTGGGGATGTGCCCACAACCAAGGTACATGCCCTTGACCAGAATTGAACCCGAGACCCATCAGTCCGCAGGCCGACGCTCTACCCACTGAACCAAACTGGTTATGGCTAGGATAGCCTTTCTAATCAAGAGCACTTCCCCACTCTGCTCAACACTGCCAAAGAGTTTCCAACAAACAAATAAAAATGTCACTTCTTCCCATGGCCTGCAAGCTGCAAGGCCCAATCAGGTAGCACTTGCCCTTCTAGGTCCTCATGCCCTACATTCTCTCCCTCATTCCACACTCTGACCACACTGGCCATACCTCACTCTTACTCAAATACCAAGTATAAGTTCCCGTCTCAGAGGCTGGCACTTATTCCCTCTGCACATAACGCCAGAGCTCCTCATCTTCCTCAGTTCAGTCAGGCCAGGGTCAGATGTCATCTCTTACAGAGGCTCTTCCTGATCACCTCTCTCAAGTAGCAAGCTCCTCTCAGCACTTTATCATGTCACCCTGCTGTACCTTTTAACAACACTCAGTTAAAGAAATATTTATGTCTTCCTCAGTAGCACAGAAGCGCCATAAAAGCAAACACTTTATTCAGCCATGTCTCTCCTCTATCCTCTGCACTTAGATCTGTGAGGATTCAGCACTGAAGGGAGAAGTCACCAGGAGCGGCTTAGTGTGGTGGCAAAACCAGAGGAAAACAGTAAAAAAGAAGGAAGATAAGGGAGGTTCCAGAAGGAGAGTGAGGTCAAAGTGCTCAATGCTTCCAAGAAGTTGCTCATTCCATGAATAGCCACTGAATACCTGCTCTTGTCACTCTTCTATCTTCCATGCACTTTTTATCCACACGCTTTCTCAGCATTGGAATAGCTAATGCTAATTCCCTGCCTCCAGTCAGATTCACGCTCTAATCCCATATATTCACAAGCTCCCTAGAGATGCCCCTCTGTCCCACAGGCGCATCAGCTTAATGTGTCTGCAAAGGACCCACCCTCTTCTACCCCAGATGCTCTCCTTGCTGAGTTCCCTAGCTCTCCAGGTGGGAGCACCACTCCGGCCTTTGATCAGCTGTGCTCAGCACTCCAGATGGCTGGCAGCTCCATGGAAAGGCCTGTGTCTGGTCCAGTGCCCACTGAGGGGTCTCTATTCAGAAGCACAGGCTGCCTCTCCAAAAT